CAAGTCAAAGAAAACAAATGGGTCAGGCATGGTGCCTCACGCCTGTAATCCCAGCACTTTGGAAGGCCAAGGTGGGAGGATCACTTGAGCCCAGGAGTTCAAGACCAGTCTAAGCAACATAGCAAGAGCTCATCTCTACACAAAAAAGTAGAAAAAATTACCAGACGTGCTGGCACACGCCTGTAGCCTTGCTATTCAGGAGGCTGGGGTGGGAGGACTGCTTGAGCCGGGGAGGTTGGGGATGCAATGAGTCCTGATCGCACCACTGCAATCCAGCCTAGGCAACTGAGGGAGACCTTGTTTCAATCAATCAATCATAAGGAAGCACAAATCCACAAGGGGTCTTCCACTCTGCAAGCCTGTGTTTAAGCACGTCCTTATCTATGCCATCACACTTGCCACATACATACATAGGCTTCTTCCCCAGCTCCACACCTCAGTCGCCACAGGTTGTTTTTTAACTCCCTGGGTTCCATAAACACGTGGTGAGTTTGACATAGGGCCATGACACATCTTCCCAACCAAACATAACAATTTGTGAACTGATTAATCCACTGGTCCCTATGTCATTGAAAAAGGCTTTTTCCCGGGGTTTTCAAGAAGGCCACCAGTTCAGTGATATTCTCCCTCTCTCATTTCATTTCAGGATCGCGCTGTTATAATAAAGATGGGGGTGGTCTCTCCTGGGAATAAAGCAGGTTGGGAGGCAGGCTACGTAAAATGCTGAGAAGTATTTCTAAGCGTCATCATCATCATCATTTACAAGGCCTTCATACATGCCAAAGTTGTTCTACAACACATTAGGGCACAGTTCTTGGTTCAAGCAGTGAATACATTATTGGCAAAATGTGTATGACTTTTACCTCTACATAAAGTGAATGAGGTAGGTAGGAAAAGCCCTACCCCTATTATAGGAAGAAAACTGAGGCTCAGTGAAGCACAGGGACTTCCCCAAAACTTGTGCTTGTCAGAAAAAGCTAGAGCTGGGTCTTCTGGCCCTTTCCCTCAATGAAAGCACAGCTTCGAATTCTTCCTCTGCCACTGACATGAGATTTGACCCCAATCTAGCATCGCAAGTCTGTAGCGAATTTTTCATCTGAAACATACGCCAACTGGGCCCAACTACCAACTGGGCTCTAGAGACTGCCCAGAAAGTCGGGATGAACGGGTGCAGTGGGAGACCGGGCTGAAGACCGTCTGAGACCTCGACTTCAGAGAGCCTGCCCAAAAGGGCTGGGACCGCAGCGGACTTTCTGGCCTAGGATAGGGCCCGCCGCGCCACCCCCTCCCGCTCAGATCCCAGGAGCCTCCGTAGGACTTCGGCGCTGGACTGGGCACTCCAAGTCAAGGGCTCCAGCCCGCATTAGCCCAGCGCCACCCACTTCCTTGTCTGCATTTTCTGTCCACACATACGCTAACGGTTGGATGCGCCCGCCGGGTCAGTGTGCCCCTGAGTTTGTGATCCCCAAAAGCAAAATACAGAACTCCGCAACGATTTCCACGCACCGCCGCCAGCTTCCGGACTCCAGCACCAACAACACTGGCCTGCGAGTTCTTTTTGCGCCTGCGCGTGGCGCTTGCGCAGTGGGCGAAGAGGGCGAGGCCACAGTGGGCGCAGAAGTGGGTGGGACGAGTACGCCTTGGCAAATGCTGACATGAAACCCTGCGGGCAGGGAGACCACTCTAAACCACAGATTCAGGAAGAGGACGCTGCAGGGCACCGCCCTTCACTCAGGACAGCAGCCAACGCTTCGGGTCTGCGGATCCTGTCGGTGGGGACGAACCGATTCCTGGCGCCTCTAAGGGCTGATTCACGGGGCGGGGCGGGGCGAGGCCGAGAAGTGTGGCTATATTAGCCCGAGGCGGGGCCCATCTGTGACGTCATGAAGTTGCGTAATGGAATGCCTCTGTGGACCTCATTCAAGCTTTATGCTGCAGCCCGAGGCCTCTGTGACGTCACAGCGTCTGCAGGAGGAGACCATGACGTCACAGAGGCTTAGCGCTCTGAGAGGTGGGACGGGACTCTTTTGAGCCGGCTGTGGGGACACCAAGATTCTAGGGGATTTAGGACATCAGGTCCTCAGGTTCTTGGAGCTGAGGTGACGTCAGGGAGCCCCAGAGCATCCCATTGCTTCCCTCCCCACAATGTGAGCAGTGAGTTCCGCGGCAAGGAAGTACGTGGGAAAACGTTTTTTAGTGGGTCCCTAACCCCTAACTACATTCTGGAAAGAGAAGGTAGAACCTGAAACACTGTCTCCTAGGAAGAAGCTCCTGCAAGCTGTTCTTTTCCCAAGACGCACCTGATATCTTCCCAGAGACAGCATCTGGCAGTCAGAGCTGTGCCCAGGATCTCTGGCACCTTCCGCCCTCCCTGCCCAAGAGGCTGTCCTAGGCCAGATAGCTTCCCCATCCGTACACAAAAACTACAGGCCTGGCAGCTTTGATAAGGGCCCCAGCTGAACTCCACCTGGCCAGCACCATCGGCCTCTTTTTCTCCTGAAAAACAGCCCCAGCAACGCTGAGCGCCAGAGACAGTCACTGGGACCAACGAATCTTATTGTGATGGGGGTCCAGAGACGAGACGAGAGCTGGGACTTTCTAGAGATGTACTGGGGGAAAATTTGGGGCAGGCAAGAAAACTCACCCAGCATTTTTGACCCTCTCAATTGCATTTTTTGTGCAAGCCACACTGAGTATGAGCAGGAAACTGGGGCACTAGTTTCCAACCACATCAATCAACCACATCACTTGGGAATTGTAGCCTGGATGGGGTCAGATGGCCCACAGGCCCAGCTGGTCTTTCCACCTGTAGTTGCTGTTTCTGCACAGCCTCTGAATCACTAGAGCAAGCTGCAGTGAGACGTGATATCTGAGTCCACCAGGATAACAGCAAACATCAGTAGAGCAAATAGAGGCATTCTGAGAGGGCCAGGGAGTTGCTGCGCATCACCCTGTCCCACCCTCCATTTCCCACCTCCAATTTAAAATTCTGCACTGGAAATCTGTTATTTTGGGGATGCACACTTGATACTGACATTCAGTTGCAGGACTTGTACTGGGAGGGGTTTCACAGTGCTGGAGATGGGGTGACCCAAAAAGGATTAACATGGCTGGCAAACCTCCCCATTTCACCGTATTTATAACGTCCTGAGGCCCCGGAAACTGCAGAGGCTTAGTGTTCAGGGAGGTGGAATAATGTGTTCTGGGAGGTGGAGGGATGTCAGGGGCTAGGGAAGAGCAGCCATAGACAACCCCAAGGATAGCATCCCAGAAAGAGCCAAGGGACTAGGAAGGGCGCCGTGTGTGTGTGTGTGCGCGCGCGCGCACCCATGCACTCTGGTTGTTTTGGAGCAACCACGGCCCACAGCCTCGTGGGGCTTCATAGAGGAACCAACGAGGCTTCTGCAGTTGGCCCTAGTACAAGCTGTGGTCAGACACGAACCACACCACAACCTGCGTGCGCCTCTTGGGCCCAGACCGTCTACCTACCACCCCAAACCTACTGGCTAACCCCACTTCCACGCACTCAGAGGCCGCAGTTCTCAGGAATGGGGGCATAATTCTGGGCCGCGCGCGACCTTGTGAACTGCACGGAAGAAGGACTGGGATAGTGCCCAACTAATGAAGATCCCTCAGACCAGACCAGACTCGGCAGCGCTCTGCCCCTCATCCGCAGTGGGTCCTGGGGCCAGTCAAGGTTTTGGAACCAAACACATAGATGCTTGGCGGTTTCGCGAGGTTGCGGGCAAGACCCCTTGAGATGCCGAGTCCTGGGCCGCCCCTCCAGGGCTGGCCAGCAGGGGGCAGCGCGGCTCTGAGCGTGGAGGCCAGAACTGGTCCGCGCCGGCAGGGTCAGACTCACTCGGTGCCCAGTTGGGTTCCCGGGCCTCGAAGTTCTAGGCCGCACAGGACCCAGGAGCGTTCCCGGAGGAGGTGGGGATGGGGCGGTGAAAGCCGAGAGCGTTTTAACTCCTTCATCCCCTGCCGCTTTCTCAGCCAGCAGGGCCCGGCTTGAGGCTGGGATTTTTGGTCCCTGCAGCAGGGAAGCTTATAGTCCAGTTGTCATCCGCGGCCGCCGCGCTTCGGGCGCTGAAGCTGGAGAGGCCATCCTGCGCTTGGGAAAGGCCGCGGGCGCCACCGCCTGCGCAGTCCGGCGGTCAGGGCGCCGGAGCTGGGGGAGCTCCGCCTCGCCCCAAGGAGGAGAGCCCCGGAGGCCTGGCTTCTAATTGTGGGAAAATTAGACACCCCAGGGAAGGTTCAGCTTATGGAGGGCGGACTCGAATTTCTCCTCCTAAGCGTCCCGGGCCTCCCAGGGCGCCCGCCCCCACCATTCCTGACAAGGCTCTAAAATTGTAGGGAATCTTCGCGGTTGTAGAGCCACGATCCTAGGAGAGATCAAGTCCCAAGCAGAGAATGGTGTCTGAGGGATCCTAAGGGAGGGAGTGATGTTGGTTTGGGGTTCCTGGGAGGCAGCGGTCATTGTGTATTTGCACCCAAGTGTTGAGACCCGGGGAACAGGAAACAGTACAGCTCTGAGGCTCTGTGAGGGCGGGTCTTTCCCACCCCAAAGCCAGAGGCCAGGAGGGAGGCCTTCGGTTGGGGTGGGGAACGACATTCTCTTCTCTTCTTGCACCCTAAGCGATCTCAGCACTCAGAGACGCTGTCTCAGCACCCAGAGAATCTGGGATTTCTCACGGGCGGTGTTCTGCCCTCAGGATTAGGTTCTTCGTAAACTCACAGCCCTTTAGAGGTGAGGAGTGGGAAGGCTGAGACCCTACCCCCGAGGCGGAGCAGAAAAGTAAGAAAATCAATACACGGTGGGGCAGAGGCAGACCTACCCGGGAGAGAGAACGTTTCTCCACCCATCTCAGCCCTGTCATCCTAATACGACGGGGTGGTAGGAGGGGGACACGCTGGCCTCCAGCAGAGAAACGTGGTCCTCTCAAAGAGAGGATCCACCCGGTTTCCTGCGTTTAGGAGGGAAATTACCTATCCTGCAATGCCTGTAAAATAACCGTTTATTTATTAGTTTAAAAAAAAACTCCAGTGATAAATGTCCGTTACCGATGGTCAGCATAAAGTGCCAATCGCAATATAACGCCCGGCTCCTGGCTGGCTGCTCCCTCGCAGTGTCGCGGCAGCGGAGGCCGGGCCCCCTGCAGACCCAGGCCTGAGGTCCCCGCCCTGCTGTCCGAGTCCCGGAGCCCACGGAAGCGGGCTGAGCCGCAAGAGCTGGGAGGGGGCGCTCCTGTCCCGCGGTCCCTGGGGCGGGAGGCTGAAGCAGATACAGGGATTACACTTTTGCAGGCTCCGGGGGAGGGGGCAGGGGCGGGAGGAGGAGGTGGGAGCTGCCAGTGCTAAGGACTTCCTTGCCTCTCCCCTCACCCCTCACTCTCTGCAGTCAGAGTTACAAGCTTATATGGTCAAAGACAAAAATAAAAAAGAAAACGTATAAAATAACAATAGAAAAAGTAATACTTCTGGGAGAGGCGCCGCTGCGGCTCCGCGGAGCTTTCGTTCTTTTCTTAATGCAGTTTCCCTTCCACCACGTGAGTACCGCCTTTTGGCCAAGAGTTTAGCCGCGTCCTAGGGGAGCAGCCGGGACGGTCGGGGTCGCGGCCCCGGGCGGGGCTCTGAAGTGCCGCGTGCGCCAGGGACCCAGGGGACAAAGTTGGAGAGGTGGAAGGTCCCAAGCGAGCGCCTCTCCCGCTGCCCGCCAGAGTCAGGCTTCTGGTCCCTCTGGAGGAGAGGGCCACTGGGCCCAGGGTCCTTGTGACCCAGAGGCTCTATTTAGCATTTGATCTTGGAGGTTTTGAGCTCCTTCACCTGTGAGTGTAGCGTCTTGTGGACAGCGAGAGTCCTGGACTGGCAGAATCCTTTCCCGCACTCTTGACACTTGAAGGGCTTCTCTTTGGAGTGAATATATCTGAGGGCAGAAACAGAGAGTTCATACTTGCAAAATGATGCAATGTTATAAACAGTTGCCCAAGATCCCCTCCCACTGCTATGGGGCACTTGCCCTCAAAGGAAAAGTGTATAGTCAGTACCAAGTGTGGATGGGACAAAATGTTGATTGGGGATGGAGTGGGGAGGTGAAGGAGATGCTTTAGCAAAGTCTGATCCTTAAACAGGTTCAGCCACCTGTTTAAGGTGCCGTCCTGGTGGGCAAGAGGGGCAAACTTGGCCTCCTTATAAGGTCAACACTGACGATGAGTAAAGGGAGCTGGGGTCGGACAATTTGCTCGACCTGCACTGTCGAAGATGGTAGCCGCTAGCATGTGTGCTTATTAAAATTAATATTACTTAAAATTAAATAAAACTAAATTAGTTTCTGAGGTGCACTATTACATTTCAAATACTTAACTGTCACATGTGTCACATGTCACATTTCCTTCATGGCAGAAACTTCTATTGGACACCCCTGAAAATAGAGGAAGTGGGGCGGAGGAAGCTGTGTGCTTGTCTGGAGCTCACGGAGACCTCACTTAATCTTGGGTCCTGTTTATTCCTACATTTCCTGAACCCATGCTCCAAAACCTAACCCTGGGTCTCCTAGGCTTGCTTTCTTGATTTTAAAGAATTCCCTGAAGCTCTAGAGGTTTGGAGCCAGTAGGGGGTCTCAAGAACCTCGTTAGGGAGGAAGATGGTGAGGCCAGAGGCAGAGAGCTCTCTCTTGGGCCACGCGCAGTGCCGCACCTGTGGTCCCGTAGGTGGTCTTGCCTCCGGAAGGCTTTGTGGCAGATGTCACAGGTGTAGGGCCGCTCGTCGGTGTGTGTCCGCTCATGGATAAGTAGGTTGTAGGACTTGGTGAAGTGGCGGCCACAGAACTTGCAGACGAACTCCTTCTTGGTCTTGGAAGGCAGACGTCCCCTTGTGGGTTTCTTTTCTGGAGACAGCTTGGTCACATCTAGGAGGGCACCCAGCCCACCCGCAGGGGAGCCTGGGCCCTCCCCTCGGCCAAACTTGGCCGGATCTTCTTGCGTTGCGGCCAAGGCCAGGTTGGCGAAATCAAAGCGCGGCTTGGTCTTGAGCGCTGGAACGCTGCCTCCAGCGGTGATCTCGGGCTTGGGTTGAATGACATGAGGGAACCAGGGAAAGGCGGGCAGCTGGAAGCGCGCGTCCACCAAGCTGGACACGGTGCCCGGCACTTTGGAGAAAGAAGAGCGTGGCAAGTGCATGGCCGGGTAGCCCAGCGTCCACTGATGCAGGTGCACAGCGTGCAACGCGCTGAAACCATACAGGTTGGGCAGATGGTCCGAAGGCACTGTGGGCAGGCCGTTCACTGCCTGAAGGAAGGAGTAGTTGGTGAGCTGCAGGGAAGGGTGGATGGGCACCGGCGCCGGTAAGGTTTTGCTGCCCATTTCGGCAGTGGCAGTGGCTTCTCAATCCAGATCTGCAAAGAAAAGAAGGCAGGGGCGTGGAGAGGAATAAAGAAGTTCAGCGTGGGTCGCCTTACTCCTGAATTGCAGCCCAGCCACACCCTCTCCTCACACCCAGCGCAGGAGCTAAGAGTCTAAGACCCCATTCCCAAAACCCACTGCCCTCACAAAGAAGGTGGAAATGTAAGTGCAGGGGAGCCCTCTTTTCAGAACCCTCTTTGGTCTGAGGGCTCCCTCCAAATGGCCTCTGGCAGAGTCACACAGCTTGATAGAGGGAAGGGTCTACTGTATACAAGACACAGAAAAAAAACAAGCACAGGGAAACTGCCTGTCTTGTAGAAACTGACAGCCAGGTAAGCTTGGGTCAACACAGAATCACAATCTCCTGCAAAGATAACAGGAGCTGGGGAACACACTTACACATTCATTTGCAGATAAACACAGAAATGCACACGCAGATTCACACATTCTGAGGCAGAACTGACAAGGTGCAAAGACTGGGACAACCAGTGTTTTATAGCACAACACTGACTTTAAAGAAAAATGCAGTAACTCCTGCATCTCACACACACATGATCACATAGCATCCATGAAGAGCCTCACAGACAACACACATACACAGACACACAAATGCATGCACCTCCTGGCTCCCGTTCGTTAAGGTCTTCTGGCTGACCTTTGATTTGGCTTCCAGAAGCCCTGCCATCTTTCTCCTCAAAACCCTCAACTTTGACCTTAAATCTGCTTCCCTGCCTTAATATAAGTGAAATCTGTTGGCTTCACTCTCTGAAGCTGCTTACGGACTGATTCTCTGCCTTGCCTTAGCCCTTGGGGACCACTTTGCTTTCAAGGAGGGTGCTAATATCCACATTCATTTACTCTGTCAAACAATTGCAGTAACAAACAAGGTGGCATTAGTGCCCTCACTCCCCCAAAGAAAAAGGGAGTTGGGTCTTTGGGTTGTCAGCATGTTCTTGTGTGTGGTGAGCCCTGGGCAGGTGGTATGCCTATAGGCAAGAACACTGAGGCCAGGCCTCCATTCCTGTGGTCTATGTACCTCCAACTGCAAGGTCGGAGAGCTTGAGCAAGGCCAGAGGAAAGTCACACTGAAGTGACCAGGGGCTGGCATCTCCAGACCTTCTTGGCCATGGTCTCCAGCCTCCATGGAGACATCTGAGCTCTGCAAAAATGCTTTTCATCTCTACCTCCCAGACACTCCTAACTCAGATGTGTCCAGTGGAGGAAAGAACAGGGTGAGCAAAGTCTAAACTGTCAGGGAGCCTTGGGAAGCCCAAGCACTGAACTCCTGGCTCTTAGCTTGGGGCTACTTAAGAAGTCATTGTCACAGCTTGGGACTCCCTTCTCTCTTGCCCAGCCTCAATCCCCTGCTGTTGACTTCTTCCTTTACCCTTCATTACTCTCCTCTTCCTAGGTCATTTCCTCTAACATGGAGTAATTTCCTTTCCCTGGGATGCATTGGCCTCTGCTCTGCTCCCTAGTTTGGTGTGCCCCCTCCCCAGGTTGAGCTGACCCTCAGCCCAGGGCAAGGCCCAGGCATAGACTCCTCTACCTTTCGCTGCAGCGAGGCTTTCAAAGCCTGGCTCTGTCCAGGGATGTGCAGTGCCTTTTCCCAGGAGGTATGAGGACAATGTTGACCCAGGAAAACCTTTTCTCCTGGAAGCTGGCAAGGGGGCCACTGGCTGTGTGGTGGGACCTAAGGAAAGAGGCCTTCCTGGGAATGGGGCGTAAAAACACCATGAGCTGGCAGCGATTTGCCTGCGCAGTTTAAATTAGCACTCGGATACAAACTGCTGCAATGAGTTTAGCCTCAGGGCGAGAGGAGGCACAGTATCTGCATGATCTGGCCTCTGAAGCAGAGCGCTGGTCCCGCCGGCAGCGCCGTGGCTTCAGCAACGGTCATCTCTACTGCGCCAAGCCAAGTTCGGGTCGTGCCCGGGACAAACTGAGACTATCCCAGAGCTCGGACACAAGGAGAAATAAAATTCGAATTGGGCCAGAGAGGAAGCTGGGACCCATTTGGGTTGGGGAAGGGGAAGGGGAAGGAGGAGAAGCCTCGCTAACTTCAAAGGTCGGTCTGGACTTAGGGGAGATGAGGGCTCTTTGAATTGCTGTCACCTCTTCTTCCCTTCCAGGCGCTGGAAATCAGATCCTCATCTCTGGGTCCCAGAGCCCAATGGGCGCCGCGAAGGCCTCCTCCTGCTCCTCTGGGTGCTTGGCTTATCCAAGGCCAAGCCAGCGGCCGTGGCTGTGGGACTCTGGGCTGCACACTAGTCCGAACCCGCTGCGTGCCTGGGTGGGAGAAACCACCAACCTCGCTAGGCCTTTCCTCGCCTTCTTCCTGGGAGCCAAGACCGGAGCCGTCTTGGGCTCCGTAGGGGGTGCCGGGAAGGGGGAATGCTTGCAGCTATAATGGTTCCTGGGAGCCAACCTTTCCGGGCTATCTGCCCGATCTTGTTTTCCCCAACGCTACATTTATTTTCTTCCGCGGCCCAACCCGTTCCTTGTTTTCTGAATCATTCGGAAGCCAGGGCTCCCCAGGCTCCCGCCAAGTACTTTCCCCCGGACGAAATTCGTTCGAAACGTGGCTCTTTACACTAGTATCAAGAATGGGCCGAAAGCACGATCCGGTTTCAGGAGGTCAGCTAACAGAAAAACAGTCTCACCCTAGCCCCTCCAGTCAGAAAGGATGAGCGAGCCCCCAACCCCTCGGGCTCCGGAACCCCGGGGCAAATACTTTCGATCTTTAAACACAGGATGGAAAACCCTTCCCCGGGCTAAGCATCTATTCCTCAAACAGCTTGGGCCTCGGGACCTGGGGGAAAGAATAAGGGGACCCGACCACGCACAGCAGAGGCAATTCGCGCACGGGATCCCGGGTCCCTGCGCAGTGCGGGCACTCGCGCTCCTCGCGCGGTGGAGCGCCAATCCCAGGTCTGCCGCCAGTCCTATGCCGGGCATTAATGAAGTGTGCAGAGTCTATTAAAGTGGTTTATTTGGGGCTAATTGAGCGTGAGCAAGTTAACTGCTTGCATTAATGAGAATGGGAGCGAACTCCAGGAGCTTGCGCCTGGGGGAGCCCAGAAGAAACCCAAGAAAATCAGCCTTGACATCCAATCTCCAATGAGTGGTGACAGGCGTCCGGACCCCTGTGAAGAGGACTGACCGCACCGGATACTTCTGTAGCATTCTCCCAACAAACGAGATCTAACGAACCCATCGGTAAGGCGGCCATCCGGCTGCACTTAAATGTCCTCTGCGTCCTCGGCGATCCATTCCCCAATCTTAATAAAACAGCAGTTACCTCGAGGAGCCTGGGATGGAACATCTACCCGCCGCCGGTCGCTGCTAGTCCCCTCCAGCCCTTCTCTTCCCTAGGGGGTTGTGAAGCTGGGACACCTAGCCTTGCACGTGGTTTTGTTCCCCAGAGCCAATGCGCAGCTCTTAGCCTGGGTGAAATTTACCAAATTGTGGCAACAAAGAAACCCTCGCGGCTACTTTACACACTGAGAGCCCAACCCGCTACTGCCTGAGCTGCTGAAAAAGGACTAAACGTGGTTTTTCATTCTTATCCGAGACAATACGGAGGAGAAATTAGTTCAGGAGGCAGGCCCTCATCCCTTTCCCCTTCTTTCTATCCTGACGGCTGGATTAGCTGACAGTCAGGGGAGTAACAGAACTTTTCCAGTCCCCAGCCCGGAGACACTGCGGCTCCACAGAGTTTCCACTAGTGCTGTGTTTGAGTCTCGAAGTGGAAAGCAGTCCTTGCGCCCCACAGCATTGCCTCCCTGCACCAGGACAATCAAGGGTTCCGCTCCAGGCCTTCACTACACAGAGCAATCATCCTATGGAGAATATCCCTAAGTCAGAGCGCAAGTGCCAGGCGGGGTTCAGACTCGCGGCCCTGCGCTCTCGGGTCTAGTCGGCCTCATACCAGAGCGCAAGTCCTCAAAAGACAAACTTGAACGAAAGCGCTACCGGGCTGGGGCATGCACCTGTCCCTGGCGCGGTCGGCTGCGGCTGTGGCCATTCACTCCCTCTCCCTTCCTTCTTCGTCAGCCGAGGCGTCAGCCAGAGATAGGAGCGCGTCCCGGGAAAGTTTGTGCCCGCTGAAGTTGCTCTGGTTTCTTAAAGGGGGCCCGCATATTGACTTTCAAAGTCCGTGGGCACCTCGCCCGGGATTCCGCACAGCCGGGCGGGCTGGCGGCAGTAGCTGTGGCCCGCCCCCTCAATCCCCGGCGGTCAGAGACCGAGGACCCCGCGCGGGAAGTCCTGAGCCAGCACCCCCAACCACCCTGCTCTCACTTTCACAAAAGTCCTGCAGCATTCATCTGTCAAGAGCTTCCTTGGGGGCATTGAGAGAGAGGAGACACCCGCCGCGCAGTGACAAGGAACCTCGGAGTCCTGCCCGCATTCGCCTTGCTGAGCCCGGGCGCCCAGGACTGCAATTACCTTGTTCCGCAGAGGTCCCGGGGCTGAGCACGTCTCTGGGGCTTTAGCTGAAGGGAACTGGGGAAGCCGGAGGCGCTGGAGCCCACAGGCGCCCCTGGAGCTCTAGAGTCCCTACTCCTCTCCTGCCGCGGGGACTCTAAGCGTCGGACACGCGGGAGCGAGCGCTCAGCAGCCCCGGGTCCTGCCCGCCCGGGATGGTGAGCCTCGCTCGCAGCTCCCTCGCTGGGTCTGAACCAGGAGCAGCTGAGAACGTGCCGGGGAGAGGCCGAGCTCCGACTCACTCATCCCTTAGCACCGAGCCGCCTACTTATTTTAATCCACCACCCTCCCTCCTCCACCACCCCCACCCCCGCCCCTTGCCTCAGGATTCCTCTCTTCCCTCCCCTGCCCCCCAACCCTGCCATGCGCCTGCGCAATGAAAGACAAAGTTTTTGCTGACCCGGGCAGCAGACTTTGGCAGCTGCACTCGCTTGGACCCGGCCTCTCCCAACCTGCGTCCCCTCCTCTTCAGTCCCACGCGACCCCTTCTGCCTTTTTAGGTCCAGAGGGGCACGCCTGGCGCGCTGGAGGAAACGGTCCCTAGCAGATGAGAGCGGGCTGGCACCGCACGTTTCGAGGTCCTATACTTGGACTCCTAGGACACAGCCCGTGCTCTCTGGGAGAAGAGAGGGAGGGAGGGGCTGTAGCTCTGTGCACCGGGATCCTCACACCGCGGCTTGGGTTTCAATGCACTTTGGCGCCTGACAGAGTCGCCTTCCTCCCAGAATCTCTTTCCAGAGGCAGCAGACCCCGAGTGTGGAGCAGCTCCTGCACATCCAAGCGTGCTCGGGGCCAGGGTGTTAACCCAGGCAGCGCTGGTTAATTCCTGGTGCGGGAGGGCCAGGGTCACCGAAGCAAGCGAGCTGTAACGTCCGAGTGCTTATGGCTGACCCCAGACCCTAAGTTCTGGAGTCCAGTAGAAAGAATAGAGAGTAGTGAAAGGTCAGGAAAGTTATTTTGCTGGGGCCCAGAATTCTCTGAGATTTCACCCTAATACACAGTGGCACTCTCTACTCACATATTTGTTTTAGGATGGATCGGAGTTTAGAGAGCTGCACTGGCAAGCCAGCCGAGTTGCAAAGTTGTCAGTTCTAGGGCTTCTGAGTCAAGGAGCTGGTTCAGGTGGAGTCCTTAATCGGAAAGCAATCAGAGTCTAGACATTAAAAATTCTGTCTTCATTGCCTAGGCTTTATGGAGGGTACCAACACCCCCTTGACTACTCATCTCTGAAAGCTGACCTCCGGCTGACCCCAGCCCAATCCCTGCCTAATGCCTTTCTGGAATACCCTTCCAGGCCTTGGGTTTGGCACAGGAGGCGTCTCTGGTTTCCCAAGACTTGAGTGGGTCCAGATCACACAACTGCACTCTCTGCCTTCGCCCCAGCGTTGCTGCTGAGTGACCCTTGGAGCTGGATTCTAGCTTCCGTAGGTCCCTAAGTATTGGTACTGCCTCTCTCCCAAGGAGTTTCTGCTATCTCCAGCTTTGGTTTGCAAATCTGATTTTCTTGGGAGGTGAAGAAGGTTGTAATACCTGACCTAGGGAGATGGTCATGAAGACTCCCCTCCCCCAAAGGCATAGTTGAATGAGGGTTTCCTTATATCCCTAGGCCTTTAGAACAGAATCTAGCTTCCAACTCCTGGGTAACTTTGTCTTGTTTGAGGAGGAGTAAGAGAGGGTGCAATATTTGCTGCAACGAACCCTCTTACCCAGTGCCTCAGGTCAGTGCAGAAGTAAGAGATTCACATAAGTTTGTCCGTGTTCCTGGAATCTTAGCAGTTGCTAGGATGCAGTGACATTCTTGCTAGAGTGAGAACCCTTGGAAGAGAAGGGAACTGAGATCACACCTCCTTCCTAGAGATTCCAGAACAGCAAGCTTCAAGAGCAAGGAAAGGCCTGGAGGGCAAGTCTACAAAGGCCAATGCTGAACTTTGCTGGCTTCCACCGGGGGCACAGGGAGTGTGCTTGTTCCAGCCTCAGGCTCTCCAAATAAGCAAAGCTTGGGTAACCTCCACTACCAGCAGCAAAAGTTAAGAAGGAAAAAAAAATGCCCATACAATAGGGCCTCTGGCTGTGCAGATCACTTAGGAACAGTGGCTGGTCATTCAGGTGGGATGGAACCTCCTGGGGTGTAAATACCCAATCTTCTGCTATGCACCCCTCACAGCTCAACTGGGCTTTTTTTATGTTTCTCTTTGTCTTTCTCTTCTAAAACAGGGCTCTTGGCCAATATGCCTCAGGACTTTCAGAAAGCTCTAAGTAGTAGGATCCCTAAAGAGCTCTTGGAGAGAAAGTGTCCCTGATCTTAAAGAAGAAACACGCAACCGAATTGTTTCACCACTGCTTTGACAGATTATCTTGAAAACTGATCCTGACTCAGGTCTCTAGACCTCAGTGGATGTAGAGCAGGGTGTTGGAAGCAAGGTTGGTGTTGGTCCCCCAGGCTATGCCTCCCAGAGGAATCATGACCACCTCTGCCTGGAGCTGGTCAGCAAGACCAGAACAGAACAAGGCCAGAGTGTACCTGAGCGCTGGTGAGGATGGCCCTCCACAAGGGCTCACCTGTTTCAGAAGCCTGGCTTCAGAGAAGTGTCTCCTAGGTCGCTGACAATGCACAGCCTCAGAGAGCCAGGATAACGAAATTCAAGAATTGCTAGGAGCTGAAAAGTCCTCCATCCCACTCTGCGCTCCCAAGGGGGTGACCCCCAAACCCTAGCCTCGATCTCCACAGGAGGCCAACCAGAGTCGGGGTTCCCTCTGGGCGGGGCAGGCAGGAAGAAGCTCAGGAAGCTAAGAATCCCTCATCTGGCCGCTCAGGCTGGGGTATCCCATCCCCCGCCTATTTAAGAGAAACTGATCACATTAAGCGGGCCCTGGGTCGCAGCGTGGTGCCGGACTACGGCTTGGATGGATTGACAAGGGCAGGACTCAGGACACCTAAGAGCAACAAGGGTACTTTTAAAGCAAGGTTAGATGTGTTTAGGACTAGCGAGGACGTCACGTTTCGAATTTGGTAACCGTCCTCGGTAACCCAACAGTTCTGTCCTCCTGGAAACCCAATGAAGGTGACAAAACTCCCATCTCATTACTGGAAGTCCAGCGCACTCTGCCACCGCGGCTGTAACTTCTGCTAGCTCTGAGGCTGAGGACTCCAGCCGGCGCGAACTCCGCCGCGGCTCTTTCTAGCTCTCTCGCTCACTGCCTTCGGGGCGCAACCGCGGGCGCCCGAGTAGTCCCAGACTCGGCTGGGACCGGGCAGCCTAGAAGAAGGGTCCCCGCAGTAGAGACCAGGCCTCCACCTCTCTGTCCGGCGCTCCGCTCCACAACCCGCCAGTCGGTGTGAGGTCCGTCAGGGGAGCGATCCCTCCGTCTGCCCGGGCCTCCGGACTATGGACCGCACTGAACCCAGTACCGCAGCAAGCCCTGCTGCCGCCTTTTCCTGGGCACGCCTGGGGTGGTGACTGCCGCTGCTTCTGTCTCCACGCCAAACCCCAGCCCCTCTCCAGATTCCTGCTCTTTGGGAAAGCGCCCCAGTCTGTCTTCGGAGTGAAAAGCGAGCAGCTTCCAGAAAATTAACTAGAATGTGGTCTATATTGCTTTGAGTTGTTTTGGGTTAAAAAAAAAATGAACCCCACCTCTCCGCACCCCATAGCCTCAAAAAAAAAAAAAAAAAAAAAAAAAAAAAAACCTCATTAAAAAAAAAAAAAAAAAAAAAAAACTTGAGAATTTTTGCTTCCAACGCAACTACTTCCTGTAACTATTTTGCAGACATTTGGGGGTCTGCTTGTTAGAAACCCCCTTACGCATGTACAGAGCTTTCAAATAACCTGGAGATTTAGGCGTCCCTCTGTATTCATTTAGATGATGGATAGTAATGGCTCAATAGTTCCTCTGGAACCATTACGGTCAATCAGGTCAAAATCCAGCTTGGGGGTGGGAAGCATTTTTAAGCACGGGAGGTAGGTAACAGGACTCCTGCGCACATTTGTTCAGATAACTCCTCTGATAACGTAATGCAATCCAGGGTTCTTAAAAGAACAGATGCCAGGTGAACGCAAGAGCCGGTGTTTTTTGTTGTGACAGCGACATACAAGTTACAGTATCAAAACTGAAAGGAAAAGTGAACTGTTTTTCCAGGCAGTTCCCGTTTGGTAAGTTCTTTACGGGCACACAAATGTAACTCTTTCACCTTTATAAATGTAACAACACACACACACACACACACACACACACCCCACACACATACCTTTGGTTTGTAAAAATATGTGTGACATGAAGCATAAATATGAGCATGGAATTGCACGGACATGCTACCATCGAGAAAATGGAATGATGTTGTCTTCTGTTGCGAAGATCAAATGTAAAATGTATGTAAAAGACGGCATGGGTTTTTACGTTTTACACAGATTTGAGTTGTCAGATTATTTTAGACACATCCAGATCTATGTACTAAGGTTAATGAACTTTTCCTTTTTCCGAGGTGTAAATAA